TTATCAGAATTTTTTAAATAACAATCCACGAAAATGTTAAGTTATGTAACTTAATTATTTTTAATAACTTCCCGAAAGGTAAGTGATTTCCCTAAATAACGTTTAAACACACTTCGCTCCTTCAATTCTCGAAATCGTAACAAAGGTTACCGGTGTTCTCTTTGTAATGTCTTAACGTAGTTTTGGATGTCAACTCTTAGCTGTGTAGTCTGGTACGGAGTAGTTAATCACTTTCGCAATGAACTAATTATTCATTTATGTAATTTACTACTAAAATAATATATACTATTAGTACCAAATAATCCATGGTAATATTATGAATGCAAAACTAACTATGTCTGTCGGCCTGTATATCGCGCTTTCACGGCAAAACTACTAACCGATTTATATGAAATTTGGTACTTACACAGATAATCTATAATAGAACCTGAGGTCCTTACCTTAGGGTATAGATTATCTCTGTTGAAAGGAGAGATGATGAGTTGTATGGAATTATCGTCATTTTTAAAGCTTGAAACTTCAATGGTGTTGAAAATTTAACCTTAGGGGGGTAAAATAAAAAGGGGAATGAATATTTGTAAATTCTTCATTCGTCGCCTATTCCACGCTGACGAAGTTGCGGGCACAGCTATTATATAAAGCTACTAAACTTGATGTATATTTATAAAATATTTAGGATAAAATTTGGACAATGTATATGACAACTTAGGTACCAAGACAAGAAAAGAGGTAAACAACAAACAAGTAACGTTCCCTAACTATCCCCAACATAATTAGTGTATAGGCATAGAGCATCATCATCTGCTTCTTCCTTGCCTCATTTATTTAAGGTCGGTGTAATACGTATATAAACTCTATAGTTTATAGGCAATACCCATAACTCATAATAAATACGAACACAGATACCTGAGCGATCCTATCATAGATGAAAGCGCAATTACTGACAATTCGTAATCGTTTTCAAAAGATTTCTAATATTGAAACAAATTTCCAATATGACTTTGATAATTGTCAATGACAAATTGAACGTCCAACTCGTTGGGAAATTTTAATTGTCGGATACCTACTTACTAGGCCTCGACGATCGGCTGCTAAGTGATTCAGTCAAGAAGTTTCCAACTGACAATCGTAAGGTAGTTACGGCAACTTTGTTGCGATCCAATTTGTGAATAATAATTTTGACAAATTTAGCTGCGTATCTTTAATAATATCTCACAAATACGAGAAAGATATCTGTATAAACTAAGTTTTATTGCGATTCTTGTGGGATTTGCAGAATTCTTTCTCTGTTTCACCGACATTGTGTAAGAAACAACTAACTAAAAATGGACGTTTTTATAATTAAACTTTACAAGTCTAAGTATATTATATTTTATTGGTATTTCAGTTGTCCTAACTATACATGCTTTTATTTATAACTAGCTGTACCCGCGACTTCGTCCGCGTAAAATAGTGACCTTGAGCAAATAATAAAAAATATATATTAATAATCTAACCCAATAAAAAAGTTTCATCGTTCTAGCTTCAAAAATGAAATTTCCATACATAATTCCATACAATTCAATCAACAGCCAAAAACTAAGTTTCAAACTACTATCTTTAAAATGAAGATACTTCCATACATACCATACATACATTATCAACCCCTTATAACCCTTTTTCTTGTTTTTTTTAATGCTACTTATATTAGTGTCATCATGTACCAATGATAAGATGTCGCTATACTGTAACCATTTATGAGTCCTGTGGCGGTAGGTACTGATATTTTCTCAACAGCCTAAAAAATGGGTTTCAAGTTTCTAGCTTTAAAAAATGACAATACATGCATATAACATTTTAACTCCCCTTTTGACCCTTACAACCCATTTTCGTTAATTATATTTAATCAATACGCAAAAAAATAAGATTGAAGCTTAAACTTTTAAAAAATTTCTCTTTTAGTCTCTTATAACCCTTTTTAGCGTTAAAAAGTAACCTATGTCCTATCTCAAGATCTAGACTTTAAATTTCATTTAAATCAGTTCAGAAGTTTTGGCTTTTAAGACAGACAGACAGAGTCACTTTCACTTTCATAATATTAGTAAAATAATTAAATTCTTAAATATCTGCTATTTTATTTTACCCCTTGAATGGTGACAATGTGATATTTACAAATTTAAATGTCATATTTATTTATATATAATAAACAGTTTAAACATTTCTTTAAATTCTTTTGAAAATTGGTGGTCCAGTTGGCCAATAACATAATAAAATTTTGTTAAATCAAAATAATAGATGTGATATTCTAAATTGCAAACTATCCCTCTACTTGCGCGAACCATATCTCTGATTCTACTGGCCAGAAATATTCCGAACCTGAATAGCTCGGATGGAACGGTAGATGTTGTTTCTTCCAAGGAAATGTTGTTCATATATTATGTGATTAATTATTACTATTAAAATAATATTTGAGAAATTTTAAATATCATGTATTGCTAAAGCAATAAAATATTATAACCTGTCTGTAATGCGAACTGTAAACATTCAGTGATTGTAGTTTAATAACTGTAAATTAATATGTTTACATTAGTGAACATATTTGCCTCTATATTACAAAAGAAAAAGATAAACAGCGAACACGAGCTCGGTAACACAGAGGAAATTGCTGAATGGATACAAATATCAATTCCCAAGTATTACATTACATTACGAGTGGTTGGTCGATACGACTGTTACTATTACAATTCTCTCCTAAAACGAATCAATTATATAATACTATAAATATTGTTATAAAATAAGCATTTACCATAAAAATGAAAAGAAAACGACTATATTTATTTTTTACCGTAGGATTTCTTTCTACTTAAACTTTAACTCTTTCTCTTTCTCTTTAACATCGAATACAAGACCACAAACATGACTGTTAGTGACTTAGAATTACCTTGAGATTCCTAGTATATTGTGATGCTGTTGAAGTGTATGAACAACAGCTACAACATTTTTACCTTGCGACCCTAATCATATGAAAATGTAACAAAGGAAATTAGTTGTAATTACGTCTATTATTTAGAAAGCAATCGATGTAATCATACATATCATAAAATTACCCCACTAATATTGAGGTGGGCTGACCAACCTAAGCGAAACGGCAAAGGATTATTATTGACACGAAATACCTTTGGCATTTGTTGAATATCATGAATAACTGAGACTAGAATGTTTTAATGATCTTTAATTATGTAGCGCCATCCAATCGCGAATCCAATATGGAATTGTAGTGCTTTTAGTGCTGTCTTTGTATCATTGTTTGAAATATATACAATAAGATCAGTAATACCACATAATCATTCAACATACACATTCATAATCATAACGAATTAAATAAACAATCGTGGAAACCTCATACAACTATCTAATATCAAACAAAACTTAACTTACTATAAGATTCAATAACTAATATACATGCTTAAATATATATACAGAATGTACATGGTTATAATATTGATAATATAACGGGAAACTTATCCGCGACCATTAATAAGTAAGGTTTAAATCAGCAAACCATCGAGATGTTAGAATAGGTACTACTTACAGCAACGAAGCCTAACAAAATATAAATTCTATAATAAATGTAGTTACTTGGCTGAAAACCGGCAACATTTACTAGCTACTTCAATCATCTTTCAATACCTTTACAAAAGTTAATCCCTCATAATCCTTTAGAACAGTAATAATGCTAAGCTTACGTAAAAGACGGATTCAATGAGAATAAATTGTAATTAAGAAATTATAGTTTAAAATCAAATTCAATTTCTATTAAAATCTATGTATAAGTTGGTTGTATTACTTTGGTTCGCTGACAAAGAATTGATAAAAATATGGCTTATATATTTACTAAGAATAGAGTCGACTTAAAAACCTCATCTTATTTGAAGTCAGTAGATCAATTATTAATACAATTTCTAATAGTGTTTATTATAAGGAATTTTAAATAATATGTAAGGGTCGCCTTTTTATTATATTATTTAAAAATCCTTTTAAGTATTCAAAACATAATTATTATTTGTGCAAGGTACATCTTAAAGAGTTGTTTTCTCTTCATTGAAAATACGTTCTGCAGAAACCAAAGTTGTATTTAATAAATAAGTAAGCAAGTCTTCACTGTAACTTTCTTAAACATTTGAAGTTGGGTAAAGTAAGTTTTTATTACAAAATAATATAACCATAATATTATACTGATATATTAAAAATATGATTATTGTAAGTGCACTACATAAATATGACTATGTCATTTTTATCACAAAGTACTACAGCAATGCTCGTGATCTGAAAAAAATACCACTTGACTAAACCGAGCATAACAGTAATTCAATTTGTAACTTTACTTGTGATTTTTTCGAAATATTAAAGTCTAGTCTTATTCAAATAAATACCCACGTGTTATAAAATAATATATAAACAAAATGTGCATGCCTAATTTGCATATCCGTATTTTTCATAATTTTCTAATTATGTATCAATTAATATCGCTGTAAAATAGGAATTATAAGCAGCTAACATGTAAAGCAAAGAACTTATTAAATACAATTAATAATATATCGAAGAATGTCATTACTATAAAAATAAAACAATGAGGAAAGATTTTTAAGATAAACTAAACTTAATCCAACAATATTTTCCTCATTATTGAAAAGAAATCAAAAATACGAATACAAAAACCTTGTATTTATTTTGCTTTTTTGGGACAATGAAATTACGCGTTTCTTTTTCCGCTATAGAAATATAAAATTTATAGATAATATTAGCTGGATTTCTAGTGCTTGTTCTGTGTTACAACATTATCTATAAATAAAATTATTCCAGCAGTGGTTAGAATAAAAAAACACAGTTGTACACTCAATAACTATAATAATCGCAATCAAATGAAAGAATAGGTAAGTTTGATTATTACAGACACAGGAAATATAAAATATATTTCCTATGTCTGTAATAATCAAATCTAATTAATTTATTTATCTTACCTTATTTAATTTCATAATTATACGTTTATTAGGTCGTGTTAACATCATTTTAGATGTACTTAGTCAATTATTTTAATTCACAATATAATTCCACTATAAACATTAATTAACACTACACTTCAAACTAATTAAAGTTTTTTAAATTTTATTACGAATTTTTTAACAGTCGCGCTCGAGCCTTGATTATCAACAATAATTACTATGTGTTTAACGATGTCACAGTAAAACCTTAGGGAGAACGGAGTACGTCTAAACTCAGCTACAGTATTCAAAGACTGAGTTTCCGCCCGCCCAAAACGGCGAATGATGTCGAAGAGCGCCGAGTTATCCCGAACACTCCCCGATTCATGGAAACCCACTCGATGAAGTGGTAAGTTTTTATGAGTACTTGGTTGGCAAGTGTGGTCGGGACAAATACAAAAGGATTGTATGACCAGTTCTGTATCTGTATATATCATATTGGATAGTCGGTTTGGTAATATTACAGGTCGGTAAATAAAATATATTTTACATACTATATTATAGAGTATAAAATCGTGACAAACGAAAACTATGCATTTATATTTTGTTACTATGTGTTTATATTTAAATCAAAAATGAAAGAATCTTAGATTAAATTTCACTGTTCATGTTGCTAATGGGTTAACATGTAGGCTAAAGGGGACAATATTTTTCGTATAAAGTTTGAATATGCCACCTTCAATTTTAATCATTCATTCATTGCAATAATAGAACATTAATTTTAAATTATTGTTTATTTTATAAAACTTAAATATACTTGTTTCCTGGATATTTTTATTTTATTTCATCAAGTAATAAATATTTAAATAATGTAATGGCTATTTTTGATTAATTCTTGCGAGTACGTAACACTGTGAATTAATTTTTAGCCGCGAGCGACAGGTTGTTCAGTTCAGTTCGACAGTGTATGTTTAAAATTCAATATTTTTCATACTAACAGGCAAGTACGTATTCATATAACATTATTTAAAAAAAACTAACTTGAATTGTGATAAATTAATATGAGTCAAAAGGAGGGTAAAACTTGAATTTAAAAATTATCATCGAAATATGAAATTTGAAAAAAAATATAATATTTATATTGTGCGAACTCATTTGAAATGCAACACTGCGTAAAATATAAAGAACAAAGTCATGGTGAAATGAAAAATCTCATATTTTTTAATTTTACTAAAAATATACAATTAAGTCTTAGTAAAATAAAAATTTACTTTATGAATTTGACTAAAAATTATAATTTATTATTTACATAGCTATATCAGGTAAATCCTTATCAGTCCGAGTTATGATTATGATTATATCTTTTATTTACTTTTACTCTCATGAATTAATACTACATAATAAAATAATGTAAAGAAATAGACAAAAAAATGTGACCACTGATTAACCAACGCATAGTGATAGATTACTACCGTAATTATAAGAATTATGTGGTCAACTATACATACCTGTATATCACAAGTTTATAATAAGTTATTAAAAGTTTATAAAAGGCAATGATTTATATTTGTTTGTGATATTTAAATAAGTAAATAAATAAGGCAATAAACCGAAAACAGAAGATTTCGTTCTACGATGACTGTCGGCCACTGACAGTTTTACATACCTAATACTTGTATACATATAGTTTGCGTTACGCAGAATTCATGTTATTCTAGATACACATATTGATGTTCATTGTTATATTGTCTCAGTGTCTCATAAAGCAAACACACAATTCTGTGATACTGCATCACAGCGCAGATTTGCAATAAACTCGGGATCAACTGTTCTGAGTACCCTTGCAAAAGCGTAACAATAGTATCAAAATGGCCCACCTTTATATGTAGCCGATGTTGAGATCTTACTACTTGCTACGAACACCATTTTCGTAATTAGTAAGATTACTGCTAAAAAGTATGCAGTATTCCATAGTATTAAAATGTAAAACATATTATTATATAATGTTATTTAGGACAAAATTTTAACCATAAATTGTGAGATCCTACTTAGACCCACATTTACCATATATATATTTGTCTCCTTCCCCATCTCTCATTCCAAGTTATTAAAGTACTAATATTTTAAATATTATATTTTACCAATTAATATCCCTGAAACTTAAAAATATTTCGAAAAATTTGTATGTTAGGTAGTTTTACTTATATTATTTGTTTTTATACTAATCGTAATAATAATATATGTAGATGCTAATTTTACAAAGTTTACACCTACTCCAAGTATCTAAGAATTTTAAATGTTAGTATATTACAATAGTATTATTGAAACATCCTTGTATTTACTTATTTACCTTGTATTTAGATACATTTTCATTAAATATATTGTTAAATATGGGTCAATATATAGGCTAAATGATTAATCTTTAAAAAAATCCCACAAACAGATAAATTACATATGTTTCTTATTAATTTTAAATACTTTCATAATATTTAATAATAAAATCATAGATGATGTTGCGTAAAGGCTTTATTTATTTTTGTGGAATAAACGAACACCACTAGTTTGAGCTCTATGCTCTCCTTTAAATATTCAGCTAAGCACACATTTTACTCTTAATATTTAGTGCATACTACGCTAAAATAAAATAAAGATACTAATTTCTTACGTGTCGTGAATTGCTTCGAGTAAAGGATGGTATGGCCACATCTTGTTTGCCCGACTTAGCCGAAGGCACTGCCGTGCCCCCAGATTAGTCGTAATGAATGTATGAAGTCAAAATCCTAAGATAATATTCATGAAACTGAGAATACGCCCCGAGGAGCATAATTGAAATCGTACAGTTGTAGTATAATTATAATTGTGAAAGTTTATAAAGATGTACGTTTGTTACTGCATTAGGCATAAACGAGCACGTATTTAGTATTTTATTTAAGTTGGTATAAAAGTACCATATTTTAAATTACCTTATATCTAGGATAAAATTTATAATGGCAAAAACTTGTATATGCAATATGACGACAAAAATATAAAGAAAACTTCTATAAAATAATCTAGCACATCCATTCTACTCTATTACTTATTTAGTATCAAAGGCAATAAGGATTTTTAAATAAAATACTCTTCAATCCCTAGACGATGTTCGAAGAAATTTTACACACAGATAGGTCATATGCTAAATGAACATTTATCCTAATTCACGTGGCTAAATGCATGGGATACAGCTATTCATTACGTTATAAATGTAAAACGGAGACTCAGAGATGCGTTTGTATAATTTCCAAGTAGAAATTCCAAGATGTGTAAAAGACATCAGTACCGCCATAGCCGACTTACTTACCGTTCATAAATAAACAAGGGAGGCACTCTCATTCTTGTATCACTCAATTTACACTAGCAAGATCCCAACCATTTGTGCGGTTTATACTACCGCTGCTTTTTAGAGTGAAATTAAGTGATTAAGAGACACCGTGATGTGACGCACCATATTAAAGCCAGGCGAGGGATAGGTAAATAAGGAAATAATGTAATCAAAACATTGTTTGTCCATTATTTCCAAACGGCAAGCGTAATTAAAAAGAAATTATACTTTGTAATTTCGGTGTAAATAAATTTAATCCTTTTATCTACTAAAATACTCACGGTCATAATCCTAGTTAGGGCAGGTAGGGATTTGATTGAGAGACTATACTGACCGTACGTCGGTGAAAATTTTTTCACTGAATTTTTAATGGGGTTTTTCTATTTCAATCATATCACAAGTATTATTTGCATTAGTAGAAATCAATTTCTAGTGTGTGTAAAAAATCTCTAATTTTCTAATTCGTATGCTCGTCTTAATTAACTTTGAAATTAAATTTAGAATATGTTTCTCGGGATATCTCCACGTATTTTAAAACATTTTTCTACAGCACCAGTTTTGCAGTGAAAAACGAACTAGAAGGCACACTGTATGAAACATTAACTTTCACATTAATATTAAAAATATTAATAATAGAATGTCCACAAAAATCTACTCTTAGATATATAGCCCATGAATTGATTGAGTTAAAGTAGAAGGCACCTATTCAGTTAAAAGTTGAAACCAGTCGAATCAGAGTGGAGGGACAGAATCAGACTAACGAACCGGACCGTCCCATTACTTCGACAGACGGGGCTTTCATATCTTCACATACATAGCTACAGCCTTATGTGTGCTTATAATTCAGCAGAACGATGTCGTGTTGAGCCATCGCGGTTCACATTATAATTGTATATTGAATCTCTTCTTACGTCAAATATAGAAGTTAAATGATATAAAAATATTATCATAACATTTTCTGAAAAACAGATTTTATAGAGATAGTATATTTTTTTAATATAGCCATATACGAAAGTTTGTAAAGATGTCCGCGCTTAAACGACAGTGTTTCTTTCTATGCTATCTGCTATCTACACAAATATGTTATATCACATTTAAGACTTAGAACACTTATTATCTTAATTCACACGGAGAAAATCACACACGCACAATTATGATATATTTTTTAAATATGTAGTTTATTCTTCTACTATTTCACTAGTTCGTTCTATTGCTGTAATGCAAGCTTTCTGATGAGTCTATAAATACGTAAACAAAATAAATTCAAGAAAAAAATTCAGCACACACTCATGTAACTTTTGCATTAACTCTTCTTATGCATACACGGAGATTAGATTTTTATTTACAATTACATCTAAAATAGTTAATACACTAATAGTTCATGTAATTAATGATTAATGAAAGGACTTTTTTAATGAAACTGTTTAAATAAACAAGTTTATTTTGAATTCTGTAAACGTAGTCGTAACATCACCAGTACTGCAGTACAATGTGACCGTGCCGCGCCGACTGGGTTCGTTATGTAGGATTATTGGAAATTCAGAAATTTCTACGCCCCTATTATCTACAAATTGAGTCGTGTCACCAGCACATTCCTTGAAATTTAAATTGTTTCTCCGCATGTTTTCTCAGCCGTAGACGTACAAAGTTTGTTTCATTGAAAAAATAATTGGTTTTTGCGTTAGGGCAAGTTATTTACTCTTGAATCGAATTCCAATATGAGTTGTGTTGGAGATAAATTATAAAAATCATCATAGCTTTGTTTTTCCACAGAGCATACATTTTTTCTTTTATGCCTGGAATGGAATGTATTCCTAACAAGTTTTTACCTGCGATTCTGTTTGTTCAAGACTAGGATAACTTCATTTACCGAGATAAAACATAGTACATTGCTTTCTTTATCCCAACCACTTGTAGACCAAATTTCATAAGTAA